AACTGTTGCAGTAGTACATTAAAGTAAATAAGTTCAAAGGGGCGTAACTCCTAGAACAAAAATTGAATCGCAATTTCCTGTCGATATGCACAACTACATAGTATGTCCTTATTATCTAAAAAGGTTTCGTGAAATTCTGTTGTGTGGTTTGAGAGGAGTTGCGATGACAAGAAACAGGACTGATGGACTGACGGACTGACAGACGGACAGACAGACAGACGGACGGACAGACGGACGGACAGACCGACGGGTCAAAAACATTATACCCTTCGCAACTCGTTGTGTGGGGTATAATAACCAACAAATACAAACAGCATGACAAGGGTTACTGGAACATGGAGTGTACAGAGACCAGGTACTACCATAATAACCTACAAATACAAACAGCATGACAAGGGTTACTGGAACATGGAGTGTATGACCAGGTACTACCAGAATAACCTACAAATACAAACAGCATGACAAGGGTTACTGGAACATGGAGTGTACAGAGACCAGGTACTACCAGAATAACCTACAAATACATACAACATGACAAGGATTGCTGGAACATGGATCAGTGTACAGAGAACAGGTACTACCAGAATAACCTACAAATACAAACAACATGACAAGGTTTACAGGAACATGGATCAGTGTACATAGAACAGGTACTACCAGAATAACCTACAAATACAAACAGCAGGACAAGGGTTACTGAAACATGGATCAGTGTACATAGACCAGGTACTACCAGAATAACCTACAAATACAAAAAGTATGACAAGGATTACTGGAACATGGATCAGTGTACACAGACCAGGTACTACCAGAATAACCTACAAATATGAATATATTAGTGTAGGGATATTTTAGTAGCTTTCACCAAAACAGTAGTGGTTTATTTTTGGTGTGTAAAACTTTGACACTTTGAATCAATCGTTTTAATCTTGCAATAACATGAATAATAGAATTCATTGTTAAATTAGCTTAGTAAAATTTATAGAAAAATTATTGTTTTGACACTTGAAATGAAGCAAAATACACTATCAACAGAGACAAACACAATTATGATAATAATTGGAAAGAATTAATCTAATAAACAGGTGAGCCAAGAGCACATGATATGCCTTATTGTGCATATTTAAATGGTTGCAAAAATAAAATGGGATGTTTAGAAGGCATTTAGTTAGAAGTAAATAAAATGGCTCTTGAGAGCGCTCACAAACATGTTTAACCCGTCACATTCTTTATGTGCCTGTCACAAGTCAGGAGCTTGTAGTTTAGTAGTCGTCATTGGTTCATGTCTGTCATATATGTTTTACCGTAAATTGTTTTGGTTTAAATTAGGCTGCTAGTTTTCTCAATTGAATTGGTTCATATTTTTCATGTCAAGGTCATTTAGAGGTACATGGGTTTTTCTCATTGTTGAAGGCCGTACGGTTGCTTTAAATTGCTTACATCCACTTTATTTGAACTTTGGTGGATAGTTGTCTCATTGGCAATCATACCACATCTCCTTATTTTTATATGCATGAGGATACCTTTAGGCATATCAATATTGTGTCAAATATGACCATTAAAAGTCCTTTAACTCTAGAATGAATAAAAACCAGTAAATTTTCAAAAACAAAAGTGAGTCTAAATTCACCAATCCCAACACATGGGTTGTGTTTGTAGTACTTTGATCCAACCAAACTAGAGCTAGTGCACGTCATTTAAAAAGTGCCCTTTTTCTTTTTATCTGACAGTCAAACTCCCAATAATCTGGAATGACATACTGGAATTATTTTTAATCTAAAGGTATGATGTTTACCAATTCTAAGCAAACTCAAGTTATGATAAATTATGTGAAAAATTCACATAAATCTGACAATTAAAGTCCTGTTTCTCTGGAACGTCATACAGTCGAACCTAGTTATGTCAAAGTTGAAGGGACCAGACCAAAGTATTCGACTTATGCGAGGTTAGACTCTTCCGTGGTTGAGTGTGTCAACATAAATTTGGAATGCATGAAATACAGTACGAGTTTCATGTAAACTAGATACTTAGAACAGTGTGCCTTTTTTCAATATGACACTTTATGATCGTATATTCAATCTCCATATTTTTTGGTCCTTCATTATAATTAAACACACAAGAACAGATACAAATCATGCACAAATAAAATCAATAGTGTACACAAATTTTAAACAAAGGTAAATCACTATAAATCATGAAATCACTCTCGGAACAAAACAAGTTCTGAACAGTCACTGATGAGGTCGTCTGCTTTACATTCGATTATTATAAAATCATCATTATTGTCTTAATCATTTTATTTATTGTAATTAATGAATTTTAATTCTAAAGATTCATTTAATCTCGGCTTGGCTCATTTAAATTCGTTTCGTTTTTAAGTCAGGTAAAATATCTTCAACACACTTACGTTCCTCTTGGACGATCAGCAAATGTGTTAATTACCGGTCAACATAAACATGTCATTTTAACAATTAAACAAACAAGTATGTTTAGTCAGATTTAATCCCTATTGAAAATAATTTGGTTGCACAAGAAATACATCCGATTTGAATTTTTATCATTAGATCTGCATCTTTCGAAAATACTTACTTTCGAACTTCGAGATATCGGGGTCAATTTACATTAATTTTACATCAACGGGACTATAAAGTCTACTTGACTTAACCGAGTATCTTGAATCAACCGAGTTTAACTCATCAGAGGTAATTATGCATTGATCAAACAGGAATTTTACTGGGACCAAGAAATTACTTCGACTTATCCGAGTTTTTGACACAACCGAGTTCGACACGAGGTTCGACTGTAATAGAAAATAAAAAAAAACAAAACAAAAGGAAGCTTTCTTTTATCAATCCGAACATTAATGTAATGTTTTGGGGAAATCAATTCAGGCATACTGGAGTGAGTGTGTGGTATGTGAAAAACTACCTTTAATACTTCAAACACTTTAATATAAAGTCCTGTAACTCTGGAACGACATAATCAACTAATTTCAAAATCAAAAAGGAGTTTTCTTCCAAATTGTATGATTTTTTCCCCCATTAAATACAGAAACGTCTGCCATTTCTTGCAATAATTATGAAACATATTAATGATTTATACTTTTTGAGAAATCTCTGTTTAACAACAAACATGGATTTCTGCACTAAATAATCATTTGCTAAATGGAAAAAAAATTGTAAGGGGTTCCGCTGAACCCTGTGTCTCGCCTTCAATTGCTGCTGTCAGTGTAAAAGTGTAAGGTTGACTTAAAAAGTGAGTCCATTTATCAGTAAAATACAGAATGCTAAAAAAGATTAAAACTTTCTCTTTAGATGCTATTTCTTGGTCTTAAAGATTAGCTTCTGTCTAAGTTTCATAACAATCCATGAAGGTTAACAAACTTATCATGTCAAAAAGTCCATTTATCAGCATAATACCGAAAAATAAAAATAATATTTCATATAAACTGAATATGAATGTTAACTGTCAAAAAAAAAAATTATCAATAAAAAACGGAAAAATGAAAATTAATATTTTCAAAACTTTGCTGTGGATACTGTAATTTGGTCATAAACAAGCTTCTGTCCAAATGTCATGTAGGTTTGACAAAGTTATTGATGTTCCAAAAAAACTATTAACCACAGACTGAACCTAAATGTTGACACCGCCGACGACGGAATCTAGGATCACTATGTCTTGCTTTCACGAAATTTAGGCTCGACAAAAATTACACTTAACTTAATTTCAATATTTGTATACAAATAAAAATTTCTCAGTAATGACACGCTATCAAAATATATCATAATAAACATAAACAAGAATGTGTCCATAGTACGAGGATGCCCCACTCACACTATCATTTTCTATGTTCAGTGGACTGTGAAATTGGGGACAAAACTCTTAATTTGGCATTAAAATTAGAAAGATCATATCATAGGTAACATGTGTACTAAGTTTCAAGTTGATTGGACTTCAACTTCATCAAAAACTACCTTGACCAAAAACTTTAACCTGAAGCGGGACAGATGGACGGACAGACGAACGGACGGACTCACAGATCGAAAAACATAATGCCCCTAAGTGGGGCATAAAAACTGTACACATTTGTGAGTTTAACATTAAAAATTTCGTCAAAACCAGACATCAAATTAGTTTTTGACAATATTTCTAAAAAATGTGTTTTTATATCAAATAATAGGGGAATTTGGGATATGTGAATAAATTTTGACCTAAGATAACATGAGAATTGGTAAAAGCAAATTTGAGTTATTGTACAAAGTGTTAACAGATGAACTTTGGTAAACCATAATACTCCCACAAAAGTACAAAATTATTTAAGTCAAAGAATTTAACTAAAGGCTAAAGTAAAATATGTGCAAAGGACTTAATATACCTAATATTCTAAAAAAAAATATTCATTTGTATAAGACCCATTCCAGAAAATACATGTAGCTGTTTTCAACTGAAAATAAAATACGCTTAACCAAGTTAAGTCCAAATTATCAAGAGTCAAGAATTGTATATGGCCAAATCTATAAAACATTTCTAAATTTTATTCTACTGTGCTTGAAGGAATCATTGATCTGACCTAGTCCAGTATCATTCCGACTTTCTTCCTATATGTACCATAAGAGTTGAACTCGATTTTATTCCCCAAGATTCCCATTGTGCCACCTGGTAAATTTGGAAATTATATCACTTTAATAAAATAATGCAAAATTAGCTAATAAATGTGCAAGATAAACATATATGGTGCATCCACTTAATTTCATGGGTACCACTTTTTGTGGATTGAGGAAAACTTACTTATTTATGGATATTTGATTTCGTGGTTTCACCAAAGTCTGCATACAAGCCTATAGTAAACTTGTAATTTGTTGATTTAAATTTGTGGTTCATCTGTACCTTCAAAATTAGTATACCACTAATAATACTGAATCCACAGTATTTGATGTAATGAATGATAGCCCTTGCTAATAGTTGATATATATTGTTATTTAGAATCAAGGGATACTCACTTTCATCACATTCACATTTAAATCCAATAAGTTTGGTGACACATTGACCATCATTATTACACATGTCTGGATCAGCACAGTGATCTTTGATTAACTGGCAGCTTGTTCCAGCATAATCTAAAATAAACATGCACAATTTGGATAGATTATTACTTCAGAAGTGTACTTTTATCCACATCCCTTTTGAATAACTGTAACATGCAAAGGTGAATTTGAAGGTGTCTTGTTTTTTTTTAAATTTCATAATTGAATTTCAGTGAAGCCATCAATGTTGGACTGCAGAGGACAAGTAACTAAAAAATAATTGAATAGGAGATATCAATTCACGAGAATTTCCTGAAGGAACGCAAGAGATATCTATTCAAAGCCAACCTGTACATTCTTTTTCCTTTAAACATATTATTCTGAAGAATATTTGGTCAAGACAAAATAAGGCTGAAAATTGACTCTTTGTTACCTTGAATTTGAAGGGACAGTAATAAAAGTTTAATTCATGTGAAGCAAAAGTGAAAACATATCAATAATTATTGGATTAAACCAGTATTGCCTATCTTGTTGATCATATCATCAATTGTACTCACAGATATATCTTGTATTATTCAAGATGGGTTTTTTCTGCACTTGTTTGAATACTTTATTTTTCTACCTTTTGCAACTTTTACTTTAATTTAGAAGTGAAAGATCGCTGTGATGACACCCTTAAATTTGTTGTCCTATGGATTTTATAACCAAATTCCAGCTATGATTTACTTTTCATATCTAATTCTATGTCTGTTAATCCAATTAAAAGTTGAATGAATTTTTACGTAAAAACTTTTCTACTTTTCTTTTTTAAGTTTGGCTTTGAAACCCTAATTTGTAAAGGATTCAGCTGAATGTCTCAATTGGTATTTCTGCTGTCAGTGTAATTTTTCAACTAAGTTCAAGTATCTGTAAAATGAAGAAAAATGAAAGGAAAAAGATTCAAAATTTTGCTCAGGATACAATCTTTAGTATGAAGAAAGTTTTGTCCTAGTTTTTTGAAGCGACATGAAGATTTAAAAAGGTAATTGGTTTTTCAAATAAACAGCTATGCCAAAAGGTCATAATATGCCCATAATTGGTCCATTTTACAATTGTGTTAGAATAAAATGAAATATTCAGAACTTTGTATTGATCTGACAGGTCAAAGTACCATTATTCTGAAATGACAAATCTCTAAAATTTGTCAATGAACATTATCTTACATTCACCAATTCCAACAATAAATTATTATGAAAAGTTTCCTGCTTACTCAAGTTATAGTACAACGAGTGAAAATTTACTTAAATTTGACAGTTAAAATTCCAATAACTCTGGAACAACACCAGAAATTTTCCAAATCAAAAAAGCTTCATTATCAGTTTATTCCACATCCTAATATGTTCCCCCATTTGTAAACTACACAACACTTACTGTCATTACAGTTACACTGAGCAGTTCCTCCCAATTCCTGGGAAGTTCCCTCTCTTGTAAACTACACAACACTTAATTACCGTCATTACAGTTACACTGAGCACTTCCTCTCACATCCTGACAGGTTCCCTCACTTGTACACTACACAACACTTACTGTCATTACAGTTACATTGAGCAGTTCCTTCCACATCTTGGCATGTTCCCTCACTTGTACACTACACAACACTCACCGTCATAACAGTTACACTGAGCAGTTCCTCCCTTATCCTGACAGGTTCCCTTCATTGTACATGGATTAATAATACTACAGACTTCTGGGGAATTATCACATGTCACTCCTGTTGTACCACCTGGACATCTGTAATGAAATCGTTTTGATCAAAAACATATTCTCACAAATAAAAATAGTAACCTATAGTACAATTTAAACAGCATACTTGTCAAAATCGCAATTAAAAGTACAGATTATATACTCACATATTACAGTTAACAAAATATCACAATTTAAGCTGAAAATTGCATATCTAAGTCAAAATAGCAAACTTCAGTGAAGATAACATACTCAAGTCAAAGAGAGAAAAAGTTAGCAAAGTCCACAAAATAAAACCCATGCATCCCCATAAAGAAATGGCACAGGAGAGAGCGAAAGATACCAAAGTTAATTATAAAAACTTACCTACTAAAACCCCAACTAGCTTACCTACGTCTATGGGCAAAAACACAAAAAAACTAGAGGCTCTCAAGAGCCTGTGTCGCTCACCTGTATTTACTGATGCTTTGGAAATCATGTAAAATAAGGTTAAAATCATAATTTTCAGAGATATAAACCAAAAACTGTATTTTACCCCTATGTTCTATTTTTAAACATGTCGGCCATGATGGTTGGAAGGTGGGGTCATCGGACAAATTTTTTAAACTAGATACCTTAATAATGATTATGGCTAAGTATGGTTAAATTTGTCTCAGTAGTTTCAGAGAAGAAGATTTTTGTAAAAGATAACAAAAATTTACGAAAAATTGTTAAAAATTGACTATAAAAGGCAATAACTCCTAAAGGGGTCGACTGACAATTTTGGTCATGATGACTTATTTGTAGATCTTACTTTGCTGAACATTATTGCTGTTTACAGTTTATCTCTATCTATAATAATATTCAAGATAATAACCAAAACCTGCAAAATTTCCTTAAAATTACCAATTCAGGGGCAGCAACCCAATAACAAGTTGTCCCATTCATCTGAAAATTGTACGGCAGATAGATCTTGACCTGATAAACATTATAAAACCATGTCAGATTTGCTCTAAATGCTTTGGTTTCAGAGATATAAGCCAAAATCTACATTTTATCCCTATGTTCTATTTTTAGCCATGGTGGCCATCTTGGTTGGTTGGCCGGGTCACCGGACACATTTTTAAAACTACATACCCCAATGATGAATGTGGCCAAGTTTGGTTAAATTTGGCCCAGTGGATTCAGAGGAGAAGATTTTTGTAAAAGTTAACGGATGACGGACGCCAAGTGATGAGAAAAGCTCACTTGGCCCTTTGGGCCAGGTGAGCTAAAAAGAAGTTAAACATCATTTTTACCTGTATAAAAATGATTTTTTGTGAATCGAAATAGTGACAGGGGTATAAAAATGCTTGCACATGATGTTTTATTAGTTATTGGCTTTGAACTAGCTTTCAGTAACTTCGAGTAATCTCAGATCTGTACTTTGTGTTTTTTGTGTTTTTGTTAGGATTTTTATGTGCTATGTATCCATCTGATGTGTTAAGCCCTTTTCAACTGCTTTTTATTGTTTGTTCTTATGTTGTACTGTTACACCACTGCCCTAGGAGATGGGGAGGGTTTGGTACCAGCAAACATGTTTAACTAAGGGAGCTACCATTTGTTTTTTATGGGGGGGCTAGGATGAAAAATTGCGTCCTGCATTTTTTATTAGTTGTAATCTCTGTCCTGCCTTTTTATTTATTAGTTTATCCTGACTTTTTTTACATAAATTGTTATCCTGCCTTTATTTTTAGCCAAGTTGCTCATCCTGTCTTTTTGTTTTACTCAAAACTCCTGTCCTGCCTTTTTTTTCAAATTTCATCCTAGCCCCCATATAAATCAAATGGTACCTCCCTAATCGACATTCTGTATAAGCCTGTGACAAGTCAGCTAGCAAGAGCCTGAAATTTAGTGGTTATTGTTTGTTGTTGTATATCATATTTGTTTTTCATTTAGTGTTTTAAACATAAATCAGATCATTAGTTTTTTCGTTGGAATTGTTTTACATTTGTCATTTAGGGCCTTTTATAGCCAACTTTGTGGTATGGATTTTGCTCTTTGTTGAAGGCCATATGGTGATCTATAGTTGTCAACTTCTTTGTCATTTGCTCTCTGGTTGAGAGTTGTCTCATTGGCAATCATATCACATCTTCTTATTTGTACATTGACAAACAATCAATTTTCTAATAGGCATTAATAGTTCCCTTGAAGGAGCAGCCCATAAAAATATTATACATGAAACTAAAAATGTTTGCTTGAGAAAATAAACAATTTTTTTGAATAACTTTAAATTTCTCTTGTAGAATAATGCTCCAGGATTGCTCTCATACCTTAACTAGAGGCTCTAAAGAGCCTATGTCGCTCACCTTGGTCTATGTGCATATTAAACAAAGGACACAGGTGGATTCATGACAAAATTGTGATTTGGTGATGGTGATGTGTTTGTAGATCTTACTTTACTGAACATTCTTGATGCTTACAATTATCTCTATCTATAATGAACTTGGCCCTGTAGTTTCAGTGGAAATTATTTTGTAAAAATTTACAAAATTTATGAAAATTGTTAAAAATTTATTATAAAGGACAATAACTCCTTAAGGGGTCAATTGACCATTTTGGTCATGTGACTTATTTGTAGGTCTTACTTTGCTGTACATTATTGCTCTTTACAGTTTATCTCTATCTATAATAATATTCAAGATAATAACCAAAAGCTGAAAAAATTTCTAAAAATTACCAATTCAGGGGCAGCAACCCAACAACGGGTTGCCTGAATGGTCTGAAAATTTAAGGGCAGATAGATCTTGACCTAATGAACAATTTTGTTTTGAAAGATTTGCTAGAAATGCTTTGGGTTTAGATATATGAGCCAAAAACTGCATTTTACCCTATGTACTATTATTAGCCATGTCGGCCATCTTGGTTTGAGGGCGGGGTCATCAAACACAATTTTTAAACTACATACCCTAATGATGATTGTTTACAACTTTATTTAAATTCATCTTAGTAGTTTCAGAGGAGAAGATTGTAAAAGATAACAAAAATTTACGAAAAATTGTTAAAAATTGACTATAAAAGAGCAATAACTCCTTAAGGGGTCAACTGACCATTTTGGTCAAGTTGACTTATTTGTAGAACTTACTTTGCTGAACATTATTGCTGTTTACAGTTTATCTCTATCTATAATAATATTCAAGATAATAACCAAATAAGGCAAAATTTCCTTAAAATTACTAATTCAGGGGCAGCAACCTAACAACGGGTTGTCCGATTCATCTGAAAATTTCAGGGCAGATAGATCTTGAGCTAATAAACATTTTTACTCTTTGTCAGATTTGCTCTCAATGCTTTGGTTTCAGAGATATAAGCCAAAATCTACATTTTATCCCTATGTTCTATTTTTAGCCATGGCGGCCATCTTGGTTAGTTGGCCGGGTCACCGGACACATTTTTTAAACTAGATACCCTAATGATGATATTGGCCAAGTTTGGTTAAATTTGGCCCAGTAGTTTCAGAGGAGAAGATTTTTGTAAAAGTTTACGGACGACGGACGACGGATGCCAAGTGATGAGAAAAGCTCACTTGGCCCTTTGGGCCAGGTGAGCTAAAAATACTTGTAAACAAAAAATAAAATTTAGAATGGAAATGGGGAATGTGTCAAAGAGACAACAACCCGACCAAAGAGCAGAAAACAGCTGAAGGCCACCAATGGGTCTTCAACACAGCAATAAAATCCTGCAACAGGAGGCGGGCTTCAGCTGGCCCCTAAACAGAAATGTGTACTAGTTCAGTGAAAATCGACGTCATTCTAAACTCCAAAACATATAAATGAACTAAAATTAAAAATCATACAAGACTAACAAAGGCCAGAGGCTCCTGACTTGGGACAGGCCCAAAATGTGGCGGGGTTAAACATGTTTAGTGAGATCTCAACCCTCCCCCTATACCTCTAGCCAATGTAGAAAAAACAAACACACAGCAATACATACAGTAAAACTCAGTTTAAAAGAAGTCAGAGTCTGATGTCAGAATAGGTAACAAAAGAAACTAAGCAAAATGACAATGATACATAAATTAACAAAGGACTACTAGCAGTTACTGACATACCAGCTCTAGACCTCAATTAAACTGATTGAAAAATTGTCTTCATAATATGCAAATCAAGCACAATCTCTCCTGTAAGGGGTTTAGTATCATACCATCATAAAATATATGAGAAGAACATAACCGTATCATGCCAACAACTGGTTTTAGACTAAATGTGTTTTATTTCCGATGAAAAGATCCTATGAGTGATCAATATTAATACCAAAATATGCCATCTTTAATGATCTGACAACAGTATCGTAACTATATCCCTTCTGAATAAGTCTGTTTAAAAGTTTGGTTAGCTTTTGAATTGAATGACGACATTTTTGTGCTTTGTAAAGTATATTACCATAAAAGACTGGATGTGAAATACCTGAACATATAAGATATCTGCATGTTGATTTATATTTACGAATGATGTCCTTGTACCGATGATAAATTTAAGTAAATGTTTTGACTAGTTTGTGATATCGAAAACCCTGGTGTAATAATTTTTCAGAAATACAGAGATTTCTTTCATTAAAATCAAATACGTTGTTACATACACCAGCGAATCGAACAAGTTAAGATACATAAACACCATAAGATGGTGACAAGGGAACGTCACCATCTAAAAATGGATAATTAACAATAGGAAATGAAAAATCATTTAATTAATATAAATTTTGGTATAAGGCTTCCTGTTAAGGATATAGATATCAAGATCCAGGAAAGGGCAGTGTTCATTGTTAGTATTAGCTTTATTTAAAGTCAGTACAGCCGGATAAATCTCTTTAGTGCATATACTAAAGTCGTCATTATTGAGAGCCAATATATCATCAAAATATCTAAAAGTGTTAATAAATTTTTGTATCAGATGTTGTTTCGATGGGTCTTTGCTGATTTTAGTCATAAATTGTAACTCATAACAATATAGAAACAGGTCTGCAATAAGTGGTGCACAGTTAGTCCCCATTGGAATTCCGATAACTTGACGATATATGGAATATCCATAGCGAACAAAAATATTATCTGGTAAAAATTCAAGGGCAGTTATAGTATCATAGCAGGTCCTATTGACATAGTTCTTTTGTTTGTTGTTACTAAAAAAATGACCTAAAAGAGTTTGAACATATATATTCACATTCTAACTTTTTAAATGCCCATTTAATTAGGTGTGTGATTTTTTTTTAATAATATTATGAGGTAAAGTGGTATATAGGATAGAAAAATCAAAACTTTGAACAGATTCGAAATCACCACTATAAGCATGCAATTTATCAAGTACTTCCAACGAATTTTTGACACTCCAAAAGTAGTTAATTCCACTATTTTCAAAGGTCTTATTTGAACAATTTAATACCAGGTTTTTGATTGTACCAAGTGTGCTAGTAAGTAGAATAGACAGTAGTGGAACAATGGCTTGAAGACGAAATCAATCTATATTTGTAAGGTGTTTTGTGCAGCTCCGGAAGCCAGGACATGGTTGGAACTTTCATTGTATTTGGTTCTGCTTGTAAATAAGTAGCTATTAGTTTATGTTTGTTACAGATGTCATTTTTTGAAAATGGAGTCAGTTGGAATGTTGGTGAATTCATGATTTCCTTTTGCAGAATCTCAATGTAAAATTTACGTCAAACAATAACGATATTATTAGCAGCCTTATCAACCGGGGAGTTCTTTTAGCTTATGTTTGATACGAGAAATAGGATTATTATGGTTGTTGTTAGGAGTAAAATGTTCTTTAAAATGTTGTATAGGTATATCAACTATGTTCATTACTGCATTAAAAAAACGAATCTAAGAATTTCTTGTTAGCTTTTTCTAGTTTTATCCATTTCAAGCAGTAAGTACGGAGTGAATCGTGGATGATGTTACAACACTCATTCCTCTTAATAATTGACGGGGGACGATATTTAGGTCCTTTACTGAGGAATGATTTCAACTCTTGGTCACGAACGATGTTAAGGTCTCCTGTAATAACATGGGAACTGGGGCCATAAATGTATTCGGAATTACTGCAATTTCATGACGTAGGTGAATTGTCACTGATATTTACACCTTTACACACTTCGCTATAATTAAACACATATTTCCGGGAAGATTTTTTGTAAACATAACAAATAAGTGGGAGTTCAGTAATATCAAAATAGCCAGGAATTTGTTCTTTAACAGAATGATCATTAAAAATACGGGAAATATTTACAAAATCAAAACCTTTATTGACATATTTAATTTTAATAAAATGTTTTTTATGATCTTCAGGGCAATCAATTTTGGGAAACAGTTTAGAATAACAATATGCAATTATAATTTGGACCATTTCATACTCAGAACTGCAATATGGAATTGTGTTGCAATCATCTAAAATTTGGTTTAATTTATTTACAGATTAAGAACTGAGCTTGGTTAACAGATAATGTCTGCTGTTGTTATTTGAAATAGAAATTAAGTCCGAAATATTTGTATTGTTGGTAAGAAATTTTCTTTGATTGCAATTTATTCTACGCCAAGAATTCTATCATTAAGACCGAGAGGATAGACTGTCTCTTTTTTTTTGAATCCAATTTAATTCAATTATTTTTGGTGATCGTACAAACTTTGAATGAGATTCCCCAGGCTGCTTATTTACTACTTCTAAGGGTTGAACTGTTAAATATTTAATAGGATGGTTGTGCTTTTTAAGGTGTTGATAAATGATACTTTTGAATTTATGGGGTCTTTTAAAACGATAAAGGTGTTCTTGCATGCGTTTAGATAAATAGCGTCAAGTTTCTCCTACGTAACGAATACCGCATCCTGGTTTGTTACAGGTGAGTAAATAGATAATACTGTCAGATTTTCAATTTATATCAGTTTCAAAATTTTAGGAAAATGTGCGACCATTAAACATGACCCTACCCTATTGTTGGTGGAAAAACAGGGACATGTAAGTCATTTTTTGGCAGGACACTTATCGATACAAGGGTAACCATGATTTTTTGTTATTTAAAATGTTAGCAATCGTAGTATTTTTAGATAAGCGATTTTGAAGATTGAGACGTGTAGATATCCTTTGAACGAGTTTAGTATTTAGTATTTTTCCGTTTCTCAATTTCAATTTTGCTTTAGGTTATCCGTATTTCCAATTGAAAGGAGCAAAGACTGGCGTCCAGAATATGAACCAGCACACTGGAAGTGAATAAAGTAAAAAAGGTAAAACTGTTCGACTAAAGACGTCAAACGCTATCCGTCATCAAGTACCTGACAAAATATGTTAACTACAAAATCAGAGGACAAAAACAAAAGACAGGGTATCTCAGGGTAACACCTGACATCTAATTAAATAGTAGAATGGGGCTGAATAGTGAAATAGGAGTTTCAGATAAATATTCCTAAAGTAATGAACATAGAGAAGTTCTCACTCGGACACACACTCCATTATCTTGTATATTATAAGAGCATAAACCTGATGCACAGGGAGACACTCTACTGTCTATAATAAAAAAAAAAAGAAACCCTGCATTTCTATTCTATACCTATATAGATTATCCCTATCCTAAGGAATATCAAAAGAAGAGTGAGAAGATATCTTTTGGGGAAAAAATAATTATAGAATATAAACAAACCTGCAAAAGTATCCATCAGTAAGATTATAACAAACTCCTTCATTGGCACATGGTGATGGGGCACAGTACTCTATAGGAGTTTCACATCTCTTTCCAGTCCAGCCCTCCTTACAACTACACTCAAAGTCAGCTACCTTGTCTGTACATGAACCTCCATGTTCACATGGGTGTTGTTGTAGACACTCATTGATTTCTTCCTATGTAAATTAGAAAATTGTACCTTCACTAACAATTTATAAGATATTTGTGACATGCATTTATAAAGTGATGGGTGTTTAACACTGTACCAGTACTTATTGGCTACAAAATATCAAGAATGAAAAGGCAAATATACTGATAGCAAGCTCAAAATTTACAATAGAATTACCTAATATGTTTAATAATTAAAAAATTCGTAAGGGTTCCGCGGAACCCAGTGTCTCGCCTACTTTTGCTGTTAATCACAGGCTCAAAAAAAATGAGGAAAAAAATTAATAAAAATATTCCTCTCTATACTATCTTTTGATTGTAAGTAGCTTCTGTCCAAGTTTGGTAAAAATCCAGGATAGTTTATGAATCTAATAAATGTTATAAAAACTTAAACTGCAGACTGTATGTAATGTTAACTGGAAGAAAAACTAAGTCCATTTATAAGTAAAATACGGAAAAATGGAACAAAATTTTAACAAAATTTCCTTCTAGATACTAGCTTTTAATCATAAACAAGCTTCTGTCCAAGTTTGGTACAAATCCAGGATAGTTTAAGAAAGTTGTTAAAATTTTAAAAACTTTAACCACAGAGTGAATGTAATGTTAACTGGCAGTAAAACCAGAGACATATAATACAAGAGATTCGCAACTCTAGTAGAGTCTATATAACAGCCAATGAAATGACGTGGCCACCGGAAAGCCTATTAATCCGATGGATTTATGGGTAATAACCCGTATTGTTGTGTAAAAGGTTCTACGCCTCACGATTTTTCTAATGGATAATGCCGATACCTTTCACAGCTAAAGCATGCAAGTATATTTAAAAGTTACAAAAAACTAATTCTAATAATTTGTTATTGATAAAATGTGTTCTAATGATGAGATTAATCAAATACAAACAAAGTTAAAACTCGGCCCATTTTACTTCACCTATTGCCGTAGAAACCATTTGATCTCCCAATTTTTTTCTTAAAACTTGAAAATATGCTAATAAATATATAATTTTATGGGCCAATAGTACTCCCAAATGTTGTTTCGTGAAAACAAGACTATTTTCGTAAAATTTGATCCAACAATGTGGCGATTTTTTCTGATTGATACCCGAAATTTTTTATTAAACTGGCTAAATATTGAAATTGTTCATGGACAAATTTCCTTAAATCAGTCCTTCTTTTTTGTGCACTATGAAATTTATAGCCTGCATTTTGTTATTCATTTTTCATTCTGTTTATAGCAAAGTTGTTTATTTTCTCCTATTCTGAAGTCATTGTTTTTTTTTTCTTTTTAGGGTGCCAAAGATGAACGAATGCAGTAAATTTACAAAAGGAGTAAAATTTTCCTAGTAAAGGAAACCTTCTGCTGGTCGTTATATTATGAATGAGCTTCATATGCATCTGTTGTCGTTTCAGACTACGCTTCTCGTTCAAAACAGGAACCTAATTCATTTTTAAATTAAAATCGTATTGAGGACATTTCAATGGTGACTGCAAAAGATATATATACATATATATATATATATATTTGATAATAAAAGATTTTATTTACACCAAGGATTTGTATATGTATACACATAAACAATCTTACTTTTAAATTGCCATCTCTTTACCCCAGAATAAAAAGACAAAAACCGCTACAAATGATTAAAAGACAAAAACCACTACAAATGATTGTCTCGTGGAAACAAGGTTATAAAATACTTTTTAAATAGTGTCTTCCGTGTTGCTTTGATGTATGACCTGTGTTTTTTTTATAGATTTTTTGTTGCTTCGAGGACACACATATCCATCTATGTATGCAGTATTGTCAATTGTTTTTGTTGGTGGGTCTCTCGCTTATGTTTTCGTCCTTTTCACTATCAACAAAGAGTTCGTTATCAGTTTATTCAACTAGGAGTATATCTAAGTCGTAACTATTAAGATTGTCATCCCACGAAATTAAGATTGTCATCCCACGAAATTAAGATCGTCATCCCACGAATTAAAATCGGAATTTTCCATATTGCGTGCACATGAATGAAGCTTTATTCAAATGAGAAATTAATTGTAATTTTCTTAAATATTAATTCTCAATACACACTTCGAACATGAAGAAACCATAAATTTACTGACAATCATTTAAAAAAACAACTCAATGCAAAAAAACTGTCAAACACTTAGAAATCAAACATTTACCGACAATCCTACAGAAAAAAAATTTCAATGAAAGCCCAATAAATGAGGAATATAAAAATAAATAAAATTTTAATAATTTATAAATATCAAGAATAAAAAACAAAGCCTATCATGATTAACAATTAATTAACAAATAAATTAAGTTTTTTTCCATATTAATTAATTATACATTTTGTGACTTGTATTTTTGGAAAGAGTGTGGACACCTGTGGTGTGACAACTTTTTGTTTACAAGGTTTCAATTAAAACTCATTATTTATAACATGTTCGTGATTTACCTGGTCATCGAATAATTCAAACCTAATATACATGTCACACTGTGAAATTATGTCTCCGAGACAGGTGTATATTCAATAGAAACCCATTATGTAACTATCAAATAAAATGAACTCTGACACAATTTATCAAGTGTTAATTATTTAATATCAGTTTTTTTTTTATACAATATCAAATTATGTCTCTTTTTCAATAATACAAATCTAAAATCAAAATTACATTAAAATAAATAATTATATATGTACTCAAATTATATTTAATTAATTATGATAAATTTAACACTGAAACAGTTTATGTTATGCTTAAACATTCGTCCTTACTTCGAGTACTTTTAATACTTTTATTAATGACTTTATTACCTAAGGAGAACTCGCGAGGTTTAACTAGTGGCCGCGTGTTATTACGGGATTTCGCCGAGTTGCGAATCTCTTGTATTATATGTCTCTGGTAAAACTAAGTCCATTTATAAGTTAAATTCGGAAAAAATGGATTTTTTTTTTTACAAAATTTCCTTCTGGATACTATCTTATGATCATAAACAAGCTTCTGTCCAAGTTTGGTAGAAATCCAGGATAGTTTAAGAAAGTTATTAAAATTTCAAAAACTTTAACCACAGAGTGAATGTAATGTTTCCTGGCAGAAAAACCAAGTCCATTTATAAGTAAAATACGGAAAAAATGGAATTATTTTTTTACAAAATTTACATTTGAATATTATCTTATGATCATAAACAAGCTTCTGTCCAAGTTTGGTAGACATCCAGGATAGTTTAAGAAAGTTATTAAAATTTCAAAAACTTTAACCACAGAGTGAATATTTGTGGACGCCAACGACGACGACGCCGACGGAATGTAGGATCGCTATGTCTCGCTTTTTCGACAAAAGTCGAAGGCTCGACAAAAATATGATACCAAATATGACGGTGGTCAACAAAGGATCAAATCAGAATTTCCAATAGGGCAATGAATTATTGTATACTTTGGATTCATTATTATTCGTGAGGTACCAATTTTCGTGGGTTTTGTGGGTAAAGGTAAGCCACAAATTTACATGATTAACGAAGATCAAATTTTCAAAAAACTTGTACATAGACATTGGAAAATCAAGGAAATAAAATATCCATGAAAATACAAGTTTTCCCAATCGCAGAAAATTGGTATCCACGAAATTAAATAAATCTACAGTACCTATTTTTTATTACAAGTTTTATTTGAAACATCTAAAATCTCTCAGATCTTCTGCCTTCAAGCACAAACATTCTCAGTTTTTAATCTGACTTCAGGACGAAAGCTGCAGGAAACCTTGTTGCTAGTTTTTTGCTGTGCATCGAGATATGGCAGCAACCAGAATTTTTTTCAATTTTAGTTAAGAAACAGAGAATAAAGGTTATTTTTGGACTGGAAGACACCCCAAAATTAACACAAAATTGCCGAAATCACACCTGGCCTCCAACCTAGGTTTTGCTCTGGACTCCTCGCCAAAATTGAATTAGTTGTCAAAACACATAAGAAATTCTTGTTTTAAAATCTGAAAATGCAAAGCAATTACAGTGATTTATTGTATTAACTATTTTTGTTAAAAAAAACTTTTGTGTTTAAGACATCAGTACTAAATAGTTGAATTTGTCATAGATATTTCCCTTTAAGTCCTCAAACTTCCTACTTTTAACCTCTTCACCACCGATCCAACTTGTAGTCATGATGACAACAGCAGTTCTTTTATAACCAATATGACCTTCCATACTCTTTTGGAACTGCCACATCTGAATTATGTTGACAGCAGGGAGTTCAATCTTACAATTCATGGTCCATAAACTCTTTCAAGATGTGTTGTTATGAAAATGTGATAACCTTCTTCGAGTTACAAATCGGAAAACTGTGAAAAGAAGCCAAAATCAGGTGGGGATGGGAGTCATTTGATAGCCACTAATGTAAATGATATCAGCCGTAGGTATTAACTAGCATCCTAAATATGGTAGTTCAGGAACACAGGGATTTTTTATAAGGCCAGAAAAGATTTGTTCTGTAAAAACTAGGTCACTGTAATTCTCCAACAAGCCTAACCTGTATTTCGAAAAAAGAGAACCATTAAAAATCTATCACTGAGAAAGTTAAACCAAAATTAAATTATCATATTAATAAACATACTGTGCAGTTTTTACCAATGTAACCTGCTTTACATATACATTGATAATCATTCAACATATCTCTGCAACGGTTTGTATTAGGATCTACATTAGAACCTGTACACATTCCAATACAGTCATCTATATTGTTCTCACAATTATCCCCTGAAATAAAAGAATAATAAATTCATGATTAAGTAACTAATGGTAATATAATCTTAATATATCTTTTAGATTTAAATATAATTCAAATAGTGTTCTTTAATACCAGAAAATGATATCAAATAAGTTCTTGCTTTGCATTTTTGTATGCAAATTTCAAAATATATATTCATATATATAAAGAATACATAAAATAAGCTAAAAATCAAAGATAGCAGCCCAATATATTGTCAATTTAATCCTTATTTAACAGTGTTTAAAATTCACCTTTAAAAAGACAAAATGATGCAAAAGATATTTAGAGAACTAACTGAAAAGTTCCTCATTTGTATTGTGACAAAAAATATGTGTCAAGAACTAGTAAACATCAAATGCAACAATTATGTATGTAAATTTCTTTTAATTTTCTCATATGTAAATGGAGAAAAAAAAAGTTTTGGTAATTATCAAACTACCCTGCATCGATATCACCCTTCTCACTGGCTCTGTACCATCAAGACTTTCAGACAGAGCAAAATTTATCAGCAATGTAACAAAGTGTGAGGAGATGATATCAACAGTGTCACAATACGAGAGCAAAAATAAGCTTAGTATAGCAACCAAGCATAAAACTGTGGGGGAAAAGTCCAGATTACAAGCTTTCTGTGTATATATCACATGGCATTTACCTTACTAGTATTTACAAGGATCTTTTACCTTCCAATTAATTCATAACACTGTCCCACCCAGATCCTCCCATATTATGCTGTATATATGTCAGTTGTACCAATAAACAGTCTGCTATGTCTTTGGTGCCCTGACCAAATGCTGAAGAGTTACAGTGCAGATAAAGGCAGCTGATTTACACTTAGCAGAGTTCAGTAAAGGGACCAAAAAATGCCAACTGGTTATAGTACATATAAAGGAATAAAGTAAACAGACACAGGTTTGGATGAAAGAAACACAGTTTAATATTTTCTTTGCATATCAATAAAGCAATAAACATATTTACAAAGAAAGCAAAATCAAGTTGAATAACTGTGGTACTCCTAACAAAAAGTACATAATAACTGTGAGTTCTTTGAACAATACTACTCTACTAAACAATACAAAAAGATATGTGAAGTTGATGCTTCTTATCAAATAAACATATGTATTATACATGCGTATACATCTTTTAGCAAAAAAAATTAAATGTCCTTAAGGGAGTTGGAGGGTGGGAAGAAAATATTTTCCCAGAAAAATAATAATGGCTGCTGCAAGCAAGTGTTGCTTCAGGAATAGTTGAGCCTGTGTGCATAAAACAGAAGCCCTGCTAATTAAGCGCTGATTGGTTAATTCAAAATTAGCTATGAATCTCATTGGTTAATTAATATGATCTCGAAAAACAATTAGTAAACGAGAAGCACATGCGGCAGTGACTGGGAAACCCCATTGCTGATTGGTTAAAACCTAGAGATGCGTGTGTCCCCAAGTAACTTCTGACCAGCATTCCAAAACGTATTATGTATTAATACTCTATTTAAATAAAATAGTTCTCATAATTTTAGAGTCACATGCAGATATATAGAAATATTTCATTAAAAACAAAAGATCAACTTTTTGTAAAGATAGGCAAACATTAACTCCGCAATGACTAACCATCATATCCAGTGGCGCAATGACAATCATAGCTATTAATCATATCTGTACATGTTCCACCATGCTGACATGGCATGTTCTTACAATCGTCTATGTTATGTTGACAAAGAGATCCTTCAAATCCTGTCTCACAATCACATTTCCCATTACTACATGTTCCATTGATACAATTCACATTGTCACAAGCTGGAATCATTTCACATGTTCCATGAGCGTCTAAAATAAGAAAACACAAACAATCAAACATTAGGTAAAAACCCCTATCAACGTATTAACAGACAAGTTTTACTTTTTATCAAATCAAATCATGTTTATTGTACAAAAACAGGCCACAAGCCCAGGCTATATTTATAAGTTCACAAGTTATAACGTCAACTACACTTTAATAGTAACATATAATAATAATAAACAAATCTACAACACACAAATATTACAAATATATATATATAGATAATTTAGCTCATCTGCAATCAATTCCATCTTCATGCCTAATATGTCATGTACTGTGTTACAACTCTAGATTCTACTGACGAGGAAAGGTAACACTAGGCAACCCAAAGCTGAATTTTTATTTCAGTCTAGGTGGCCGGGTGGTCTTGAGCGCTGGACACAGTGCCAGGCGGTGTTGTCTCGATATCTCAATAGTGTTGTGAAACTGAAATGATATTTGGACAAATCTCGATCTTTAATGATGATTTCTTATGAAATATCATTCCCTTCATATTATTTAAGTTTGCCCAATTTGTGTAATGGTATTACAGACCTGATAAAGCACATTTTAGTCTCGTTTCATTTATTAATCAACGTTTTCAGTAGAATTTACTGTGTTGACACATTTTCCACCAAACCGTAGTTCCATGTTTTGTGCAAGAGTTGATGTTCTTATCACCACAAAGAAGTTATTTCTGAAATACGGGATTTAATTCCGGGTGTGCTTATTGAAATATTGTTATTATGGATTAAATCTATTTATTGTATATAATTTATGGTCATGCATATTTGTCAGTGTAATGATCGCGTACACGAGATCCGCGAAATGTAAGTAATTACGAGAAATATTCCGTGATAATGACAGCTTGGTTTCGAACGTGAACGACTTGGTAAGTTGGAAATTTACCTGTCCCAGAGAACGGCTGCTTTTCGTTCTCCTGACCTATTCATTTAACGTTTGGCTTTGTGAATTTATGTAAGAAGTTAAGTTAAGTTATTTTAGCATTTAATTACACATCTTCAGGTATTATTTGTGTAAAAAGATGGTGAATTCCGTAACACATTGTACTTGACGGTGGTATTTTTGCCGTAAAAACATTTTTAGCCCAACCCTGGCCTAAATTTGGAATTGTTCGATTATTATTGAAACATATATTTATTGATATTCGTTATTTTTGTCTAAACACTGACATTATGCAGGTTCTTTGACTTGATTTAAATTGTGTGAATAAATTGTATCTGAACGTATTGAAATTAATATTCCTGCATAATAAATTATTTTATTTATAACTCTTTGTTAATTTGCAGCCTTTTCTACTATTCCGCTCGGTAGTTTTCATTTTTACAATAATAGCATGAGTTCGAATCCCAGCGAGGAAAGAACATAAATTTGCTTCCGCAAATTTGCAGATTTAACATTGTTGTGCTGATATTTAGAGTAATTATGAATTTAATATGTGTTTTCAGCCGTGTATCACCTTCAATGGTGATCCAATGGATGGATTTGTCGTAGAGTTGTCACTTGTGTAGACCTACTTATCAAATAATTATTTCTGTGACTGTGTCTTACGATCCTTTACGATACATAATTTAGCTAATCTGCAATCAATTCCATCTTCATGCCTTTATATATCATGTACTGTGTTACAACTCTAGATTCTACTGACGAGGAAAGGTAACACCAGACCACCGAAAGCTGAATTTTTAGTTCAGTCTAGGTGGCGAGTGGTTTAGAGCGCTGGAAACATTGCCAGGCGGTGTTGTGTCGATATCTCAATAGCATGAGGGAAGAACAAAAAATTGCTTCCACAAATTTGCAGATTTAACATTGTTGTGCTGATATTTAGAGTAATTATGAATTTAATATGTGTTTTCAGCCGTGTATCACCTTCACTGGTGATCCAATAGATGGATCTGTCGTATAGTTGTACTTTGATTAGACGTACTTATATATATATATATAATTACTCTAAATATCAGCACAACGATGTTAAATCTGCAATTTGTAAAATGTTTGTAATAGCCCAGTATTTGTTATAAATCAATTTATTTACCAAGTATATTAATTTTCATAAAATCACAGTGACAAAACTTCCTCTCTACAGCACAAAAATTTGTATAATGTCCCTATCTTCTTAAATGAAAGTAAGGTAGTCAATTCGTCGGGTTGTTGTCTCTTTGACACATTCCCCATTTCCATTCTCAATTTTAATTAAATTCATCTAAATCTGTCTAAGTATATGTTATTGTATATCGTTTAAGAATGTCACTTATTCAATTTTCTTTCTCGTTTACGTCAATATTAATAGGGTGTTCAATTACGAGAACAGCAAATATTTCCCTTCTTCACACATGTCACATAGAGCACTTTAAGAAATAATTCATGGGGGCTTGATTTTATCATGATTTTGCTACGGGTTGGTCCTTTATGCTGATATTTTACCCCTTGTTGTTGCTCATGGTAATGTATTTAGCATAAAGGGCCAACCCATGGTAAAAATCATGATAAATACAAGCCCCCATGAATTATTTCTTAAATTACCAGTACCTGGTGAGGATTTATAGCCTGGTCACTTTTGGTATTTCATAGATCTTTTTCAGAGGCAGAATGATGGCTTCATAGTGGCACACTATTTATATAGTGTCTGAAAATTACCTGTTCCCAGAAAGTTATCCTTTATCTGTTACAGAATTATTATCAGTTTCCAGATAATTTCTATCTGTTCAGCTAAAATTTTGATTTTTTTATACCCAGGCATTAACACAATAGCCTAGCTTCATTTTGCACCTTTCAGAATTTTTGGTTCAATTAATCAATGTGACAAAATGAAGTTCTGTATCAACCAAATATTTTTTATCTCGACGTGAATGTTTGTTATAGATTTAAAAACTCACCATTTCTATAAGGATCTTCACATTTACACATGAAGTTCAATGTATCATAATTTTCGTAACATATTCCTTCTGGACAGGGATTGATCAAACAAAAGTCAGGTTTGTCTTTACATCTGTCACCAGAAAATCCTTGGGAACATGTACAACTATACGCATCAACTCCATCCACACATGTTCCATTGTACAGACAACCATTAGGATTTTCTTCACAGTCGTCTGAAAAATAAATGTGCTGGCATGAAAGTAAACATGTTTAACTCCGCTGCATTTTTGCGCCGGTCAAATGTCAGGAGCCTCTGGTCTTTGTTAGTCTTGTATGTTTTTTTTATTTTAGTTCATTTATATGTATTGGAGTTTAGTGTAACCTCCATTTTCATTGAACTAGTACATATTTTGTTTAAGGCCAGCTGAAGCCCGCCTCAGGGGGTGCGGGATTTTCCCGCTGTGTTGAAGACCCATTGGTGGCCTTCGGCTGTTTTCTGCTCTTTTGTCTGGTTGCTGTCTCTTTGACACATTCACCAATTCCATTCTCAATTTTATAATTAACTATAAACTGTTATCACAGAGATATGTCTCACCTTTTTGTAATTTTGATAATGCAAATATTGAAATTAAAATAGCAATACTTTAACATGTAAGTTATGCAAATATTCAAAGTCGATGAACCATGACTGAAGGTACATGGCTAAACAATCTCCATGGAATGAGATGTGCCAATGCTTATACAACTGCATACCAAATACCATTGATTTATTATAAGTCGTTCCCTTTAAACAAACCTAAACACAAACATTGACTTGTAAACTATGTAAAAGTTTAAAAGTCAATGAACCATGATCAGGGGTGGGGCTATATAATCTGCATGGAAACGATACTTGCAAATACCAATAAATTTGCATACCAAATATCATTGACTTAACATTAGCAGTTCATCTTAAACTGATCTAATCACAAACTAATACATGTAAACTAAGCAAAAGTTTCAAAGTAAATAGACCATGACTGAGGAGCCGGGGCCAAATATTCTCCATGGAAATGAGATGTGCTAATGCTTATACAACTGAACACCAATTAACATTGGCCTACAACTAATGGTTCCCCTTGAACTGACCTAATCACAAACTAATACTTGTTAACTTAGCAAAATTTTCAAAGTCTATAGACCATGACTAAGGGGGCGGAGCTAAATAATCTCCATGGAAATGAGATATGCTATATGCTTATACAACTACATACCAAATATCATTGACCTACCACTAGTGGTTCCCCATAAATTGACCTAATCACAAACTAATAAATGTAAACTATGAAAAGTTTCAAAGTCAATAGTCTTTGACTAGGGGGCGGGGCCAAATAATCTCCATGGTAATGAGATGTGCCAATGCTTATACAACTGCATACTAAATATCATTGACCTACCCTAGTGGTTCCCCATAAATTGACCTAATCACAAACTAATACATGTAAACTATGAAAAGTTTCAAAGTCAATAGACCTTGACTGAGGGGGCGGGGCCAAATAATCTCTAAGGTAATGAGATGTGCCAATGCTAATACAACTGCATACCAAATATCATTGACCTACCACTAGTGGTTCACCATGAACTAGACCTAATCACAAACTAATACATTGTTGACGCCGTCGAGGCAGGAAACAGCATACCTATGTCTCGCTTTTTGACTCCGTCAAGGCGAGACAAAAACCAAAAAAAGTGTTTGGAAAATGAATCTTTTGTCACTATCAAGCTACTAACCCAATAGGAAATCATTATGTTCAGAAGAACCTTGAGAAAAGTGTGATGAAAAATTTAAAGTTTATTCTACATATTGAAATATTCAAAGTACATGTATAGCAATGATTTTTCTCTGCAATAAGTTAATAAACTGCTTCGCTGAGCGCAGCTAGATACGCCCGCAGAGGTCCAACCCTGAACAGTTGGGACAAAAATGGACACAATATTCAAGCTTGATTCAGGTCCAAATTTGGATTGTAATTAAATATTTAACATATTATAGGTTTCTGAATAAATGTAGTCAAAGATCTTGAAATTGGTTATATGAATTGAATTTATATTCAATTAAAGATTTCTTGCTGTTGTGCAATACTTAGTAAATCTGTTGTCAGACTATAAACAAATAAAGTTCAATTAATTCTCAATGTCATATTAGAAATTTATGAAAATAAAAAGGGAGCTTACATCAATAGATATAAACAATTCACCAAAGTTTCATGAGAATTGGTGACAGAATTTTTGAGTTATTGTCCGAAAACTGGAAAATCACCCCTTTTTTTAATGAATAAAACCCCATAACTCAGAAATGTAAAATGTAAAATTTATAAAATTCTAAAGGGAGCTTACATCAATACATACAAACAATTCACCAAAGTTTCATTAGAATTGCTGAAAGCATTTTTGAGTTTTTGTCCGAAAACTGGAAAATCCCCCCTTTTTTCATGAATAAAACCCTGCAACTCGGAAATGTAAAATCTAAAATTTATAAAAATTGAAAGGGAGCTCATGTCAATAGATATAAACAATTCACCACAATTTCTTGCAAGTTGGTGAAAGTATTCTTGAATTATTGTCCAAAAACTGGAAAATCACCCTTTTTTTAATGAATAAAACCCCATAACTCGGAAACGTAAAATCTAAATTTTATAAAAAACGAAAGGGAGCTCACGTCAATAGATATAAACAATTCACCAAAGTTTTATGCAAATTGGTTAAAGCATTTTTGAGTTAATGTCCGACATGTTGACGACGGACAGACGGACGGACAACGGTATAACATAATACGTCCCGTAAACGGGCGTATAAAAAGAATACTTACAAAAAACTAAGCTTCAAAATTAAAATGATGCATCGCATCATCTGCAAAATGTGAGGGCTCAAGGCATTGTTGGGGATGAAAGGTTTAACAAATATGAAAATAAGAAGATTTGGTATGATTGCCCATGAGACAACTCTCCACCAGAGACCAAATGACATGTAAGTTAACAACTAAAGCATAAACATATCAACTTCATATGACTATTAATTTTAATATTCACTTTTATAACACAAATGCATGAACTGATACTTGTAAACTTACTGATATTCACTTCACAATGTTTTCCTGTCCATCCAGCTTCACATATACACTGATATCTAACGCTGTTGTCGTGACATTCACCATGACTTCCACATGGGTCTTGACTACATAGATCAGATACCCGTTCACACCTGAAATTTTCATCATTCTTTTACTAAAGATGCAAACAATCACAACGTATGATTGGTATGCCTTCAATCTAGTATTGCTAATATTAACTAGAGGCTCTGAAGAGCCTGTGTCGATCACCTTGATCTATGTGCATATTCAACAAAGGACACTCTCCTACATTGTAGATGAGAATAGAATTCATGACAAAAATCTCTGTTTTGTTTATCTTGTATTGCTGTTCATCTAGTCTGTTTAGTTTCTCTCTATCTTCTTTAGTCTTTGATCAAAACACAAAACAGGGCAAAAAAATCCTCATTTCAGGGCAATCACTCCTATAAAGAGTGACAGTCTTCTGACTATATCAGCAAAATTTGACTTGTTAATAGATTTTGACTAGCTGACCATTTTTGTGATTTAAAGTGTCTATTATCTATTATAATTTTTTTTCATACATAGCAAAATGCAAAACAAATGGTAAAAATTATCTTTAAAAGGCAATAAGTCCAATAAGGAGTCTTCAAACAATTTCCTCCATATTGTCTTAATTGTACATCTTGTCTTGCTGATCATTTTTGCTCATTGAAGTTTCTATCTAACTATTATAATTTTTAAGATATAAGGCAAAAACCCCCAAAAATGGTAATAAACTGCTTCGCCGAGCACAGCTGGATACGACCGCAGAAGTCCAACCCTGAACAGTTGGGGCAAAATGGACACAATATTCAAGCTTGATACAGGTCTGAATTTGGACTGTAATTAAATATTTGACACATTATAGGTTTCTGACACAGAATAAATGTAGTCAAAGAACTTGAAATTGGTTGTATGATTTGAATTTATATTGAATTGAAGATTTCTTGCTGTTGTGCAATACACTGTGCTGTTGCGCAATACTTAGTAAATCGTTTTCAGACTATATACAAAAGAATTAGCAAAATAAATTGTGACCCCCAATTTTTTTCTTTGGAAAATTGACAATTTCTAAAATCTTGAGGGGAAAAAAAATATACCCCCCCGACCCCCCCCCCACTCTCCCAAAAAAAGTCTTGGTTGGCAGGCGGGGTTCATCAGACATATTTTTTAAACTAGAAAAACCCCAATGATGATTGCGGCCAAGTTTGGTTAAATTTGACCCAGTGGCTTTTTTGTAAAAGTTAACAGACAATGGAAAATAGTCATTAAAGGGCAATAACTCCAATAAGGAGTTGTCTGATGATTTCCTCCATTCAGTCTTAATTGTAGATCCTGTCTTGCTGATCAGTTTTGCTCATTAAAGTTTCTATCGATCTATCATAATTTTGAAGATATAAGGCAAAAACACAAAAAATTGGGTGAAAATCTTAAAGCTCAACATTCTGAACATTTCTGCCTGTCAGATTTTCTCTCTCCAAAAATAGACAAAACTTGCATTTTACCCCCATGTTCTATTTTTAGCCATGTTGGCCAACTTGGTTGGCAGGAGGGGTCATCAGACACATTTTTTTACCTAGAAACTTCAATGATGATTGAGGCAAAGTTTGGTTAAATTTGGCCAAGTAGTTTCAGAGAAGATTTTTGTAAAAGTTAACTATGACAGACGATGGACGCCAAGTGATGAGAAAGCTCACTTGGCCCTTCGGGCCAGGTGACCTTAAAAGAAGATACAACAAAATTTCTAGAGTATAAAACAGTGCAAACAAAAATATCACAAAAAATTTTAACCTTTGAAAATGTTGTTAAGCACTAAAACCCCCATGGGGATTTCCAAAGTTGGCAGGCATATGGGTCAAATATGTCAGATTGGTGGTTAATGTGGTCAGTTGTGCTGTGCAGTAATTTTAGCATTTCCTGTTTTCCATTTTTATGTATTAGTTAAAATGTTCATGATGTCACAGTGCAATCACATCTGTCATTTCTATTCTAAAATGTCAGGATTGTATCATCTTATTCTTTTATAAATAGAAATAACATTAGTTTGAAAGGATTGAAGAATTCAACTTTTTATTGAATTTCAGGAGCCAGTAAATGGCTATTACCATACCTACTCCTTTGATATAAGAGCTGTACTTTTTTGTAAATTATGAATGCAAAACTTACCTGGGTTCTGTGTATCTTCCTGTTATTGGACATAAACATTTAAAATTTTCTCCCAACAGGTCCTGACACATTCCATACTCAGAACAGGAGTCACGTGTACAGGAATTCACTAAGTCATCTTCGCAAAGTTCACAACCAAACACTGTAAGAATAATTAGTTATATTGATTAGCTTAGTGGCACAATAACAATAGTATCCAAGGGGTCATTCTATTGACTTATGTTTCTCTTTTCACCTTTACAGATTAAAGGGCACCACCTGGAAATAACTCAATGCAATACTGTGTATTCATTTATATTTGTGGATACCAATTTTCGTGGATTGAGGAAAAATAGTATTTTCGTGGATACTTGATTTCGTGGTTTTGCCAAAATCTGCATTCAAGCCTTATAAACAATTTGTACTTCAATGAACATATATATTCGTGGTTTACCTTTACCCACGAAATCCACAAAATTGGTATCCCACGAATAATAATGAATCTACAGTAAAAGGAATAACTAAATGCACTGAAAGGTACATCAAACTAAATAAAAGAACAGAGTTCCAATGTCCCCTGCATTGCACATATTTTATCTGTCCGAGGGCATTAACAACATTGTTTTGTTTGGTTCTTTTAAACTTTTTATAAATATCTTACAAGAAATGTAAGCTTGATAATTGCTTGCATCCACTTCATTTAAACTCTGGTTGATAGTTGTCTCATTGGCAATCATCCAAATTTCTCCTTATTTTTATAGAGATTCTAAAATTGTTTTCCCCAATATAATATTTTTTTCAAGGGCATAACTCCTGAAAAAAATAGACTAAATGTCCCATGCATTGCATAAATTTTATCTGTCTTCCAAGTGCAATCACAAAAGAAAAAGCTATTTTTTCTGTTCTTTAAAACTTTTTATTAATATCTTGAAGAAATGTAGACTTGAAAGCCCTTACAATGCAATTTTCCATATAAATTATATTTCCAAGGTGCATAACTCTTTTAAAAATAATTGATCAGCATTGATTGTAATACTTATCTCAGACTGATGTAAATCTTTGATATAAGTTTGATAACAAAAATCAGGCAAGAATCACTCATGTGAGAGCGCTTACAATGCGATTTTCCAAATAATCAATTTAACAAGGGGCATAACTATTCTAAAAATAGTTGATCGGACCATACATGTGATTCTTCCAGTGTGAGTCAAAATATCCTGATTTTTAAGCTCTCTTCCATCCCTCCCATTAAGAATTCAAATCTTCCGTTTTTTCGAACATTTAAATCACAAAAATTTTGTCAATGTCAATTTTTGTTATACAATCTTGTTGACCCTAATTAAAAGTACAAATAAAAAGTATATTGCAAATTTCTTTTAATAATGCACTGACTTATTATGATTATAAATGTGTAGTCTCCCAATATCTTACTATAACCGACCGTGCGAGGGCTTAAAAAAAACCATCATCATTATCTTACTATTGTAATTAGATCTGAAAGTTATAAATGATTAAACTCAATGTAAAAGATATGTAGAGGACAACAGTGGGTTCGCTATTAATGCATGGGGACCAAATACTGTGAAAACTATAGCAGATCACATTTCATACATGTGACAGAGTTGTCAAGTCACAACTGGAGATTTGAAAATTTTCAGCTGGAGTTTGGGCCTCATAATTGGAGATTTTTTTATCGACATATTTATCGCTGTTTTCAGCATTCATTTTGATGATAAAGCTACATATTTCCCCTTTTTTTAAGATAACAGTAATACTAGTCATGTATTCTCTCTGTATTGTTACCATGTGAAATATTTGTTAAATATTAACACTAAGCTTTACTATTTGTATTCGATTTTTTTCCTTTCCTCATCTTTGTCATCATTAGTGTGTTTCTCATTGTTGCTATAAAATGACTATAAACCAACAATCAATAATTCATCACTATATCATGTAAAACCTTAGAAGGTTACATGGAAACTAGTTACAAATTAATATGCAAGGCCGTAACTAGGCATATTATATTAGTGAGGCAGAACTGATCACCAAGCGGATCAAGGCGAAAAATTTCCACAGGGGGTCTGGGATAAATGGTGTAAAATCCTGCATTCTGGGCATTTCCAGAGAGCTTGACATCATTGAGACAAGCTGTCCGGAGTTTATATTTTTGGACACTTTTTATATATTTTTCATACTTTTAAGACATGTACTAACATCAAATTTTTAACAACTTTATCTAAATTTATATGTCGGATAAACATTCAAATATCAATTTTAGTCTGCTGCCAGAACACAGAACAAACATCGACTCAGTAACAATTGTTATTCAAATTGGAGTTTGCCAATTTTTCTATGGCCAGTTTCGTCAAATCGTTTCAGAATATTTGGTCTGCTGACATCTTTATCGCAACGAACATGGAGCATGACAAGACCGCACAGTATCTCACCACTCATACATGAAATCCCGGTGTCCCGAATTAGAAAACACGAAATCCCCGGTTTTTAAGGTCTTACTGTCCCTCAATAATGTCAAAATTGAATTACGATGTTCTTTCAAATTTTAAGATAAAAGAAACTTAAATAAAAAGTAACCCATGCAGGTTTCATATTATTTATATTTTGTTTATCTGTAAAGAGAACGAATAAAGTTGGGGAAAACAGGGAAATGAATACTCATACAGGACTGCTCCCGTTCAGTGCCCCAGTACTTGATTTGTCAGTCTGTTCAAAGTTTTAGGATAAGTTCCAATGAAAATATATTCAATACTGAAACTTTTAACACCTGATCACAAATAACATCCATTAGTTTACTAGAATTATTCCTTCCTTGCCTTCAGTCGGCTTTTCCTTTTTCTGCAAGAGCCTGTTTTTAACCAGAGATCCATGCATGATGATTATCGTTTACTAGTTTAATGTAATCGAGAAACATCACCCGGTGAGATGCTGAGTTATATTTGGGAATAATAATTTAAAATGAAAGATGTCAAGTTATAGAAATTAAGGTTGAGACAGAAAAAACAAATGACTATATTTCATATTTTTTTTACCATAAACAGATACACAAAAAAATTCAGTGTCGAAATTTTAGTGAGGCAATTGCCTCACTTGCCTCAATGGTAGTTACGGCCTTGATATGATTGTTAATGAACTTTGGAAGTTATACTATTATACCAGCAAATAACCTTATGTCATCACTATATCATCGTCCTAAACAGACATGAAATATTTGCCACTTGACGTTAAGCAACCACAATCAGTCATCGCTATATCATGTCAAACCTTAGAAGGTAACATGGAAACTAACTACAAATTAATATGATTGTCAATGAACTATGGAAGTTATACTATTATACTAGCAACAGATTAGTGGCGTTTCAATGGGCGTAGTTGCCTCCCTGAAAATATCTGATATTGCTATATTTGACCATATAAACAATAGTATAGAGCAATATCATACAAAAATAATATTAAATGCCACAAAAGAATGAGAAATGATGGATATAATATATTTATTAGAAACAGTGAACAAATTAAACATCTATTTGAAATAGCACATTGTTTTAATTCCTTTAAAAGGTACGATAATTCTTAGAAACAATAGCAACATATACACTTCAAAGAAACTGTATGTATACTGTCTATAGATAGAATATCTAGACGGCTAATTACTAAAGAAAATTCAGTCAAATATTGCATAACATCTTCACGAAGGCAGACAGCTAAAACTTCAAAGAGAACAAAATAAGAAAACAATTGGCAGAAATATTTTGAATATTTTAAAAAGGTAATGACAAAATTTTTATATATAATTCGGAAAGATCTGATTGCCAAAAAAAATATTCAAATCTGAACCAGATATTGGTTTCAAAAACAATAAGAATATTAGCGACATGATATTTAATCATTAAGTCGAAGACATCGATTCACAATACCCCACTACGGGAGGCTTTAGTATACAATCATTATACTGTGAAACAGAAGTAAAAAGACATGATGCCGATTTATTTCAAAAGATCATGTATTAGGGATAACAGAAGGGTTTCTTATATATTCATACAAATATCCAGTACCTACACAAACCTCTTCAATTGTTAAACATGGAAATTTTTGTATATTATCAAATAGGTGCTAAAACATACAGTCTACTCGGAATTCAATAAATTAAAACTGATAACTACTATCTCTATTAGATCCCGTGTAGATTTATGATAGATTAGATTATGGAAATAAAGACAATAAGACTTTTCATTATATATAATTATGAATAATTAAACAAAGATGCTGATCCAGGCCTCTACAATAACTTTTTTTTCAACTTGTCCAGTAGGACAAGTACAACCCAAAACTTACTTGTCCGAATGAAATTGTAACTTGTCCAAAAAAAATCTTAATATTAACCTTTTTGGCATTTTAAGTTGATTCAAGGAACAAAATGAATTAAAACAATAGAACAGAATTTGATTTATATCTTTTGAAATACTTTTCAAAAATATGAGTCGAGAACAACTGAATCTAGTCATGTCACAGGGCTTAGGTTCTAGTTTTCATCAATGCCAAAGTCTCATCAAACTCTGCACATGAGGCACCGTCTGATAGGCCTGTCAATGTACACTCATTGGATTTGTATCCTGGTTGTTTAAGTTGAAAAAAGATTATTCCAATGCAATCAATAAAAAAAAGAAGATGATGTATGATTGCCAATGAGACAACTCTGTGCAAGAGACCAAATGACACAGAAATTAACTATAGGTCACCGTATTGCAAGTATTGTTTCTTTCTACATATGATCCAATATGATTTTGTGAATTCTATGGTAAATAATTTCTTCATTTTTATTTAAAAAAATTACCTGTATGGTATTTATTATAAAGCAAAAGAATAAGGTAGGAAAACGAGGTACTGATTTGTCTTGGTCCTGAAATGTCTCCTGCGTTGTCAAACTGTCTATTAATCATGTCTATTAAATATGTCCCCTACGGTGCCAAACTGTCTATTAAAATTGTGAGCCGAATCGTTTCCGAGCTGGTGACGAACTATCTTGTTAAGTAGGCTGGTCCTCTCCCTTGCAACATTTACCTCAGAGCCAAACAGATAAAGGACAGAGAACCAGTCTATCTTGTAAAGTTACCTTTTCTACAAAGCGCATCGCTGATTCGGATCAGT